AATTGGAGCCCAATCCACTTACTAACACATCTAACAGCCACAATTCTACAAATCATAAAAATAAAACTAAGCCCCCAGACAGCTTTCAGCATTGTCGGGTGATTCCATGGGTGCCAAAAACCCGCCCAGGAAGCGAATTCTCTCCTTATTCAATCAAGTGGATTGAGGTTGGTGAGGTGTAGCGTATAGAGGCGCCAATCCCCGCCAATCCATTTTTTAGATCAGATCCCGCTCCTGCAATTTGGACATTTTCTCTTCTCGAGCTCGCTAGTCAGTGCCAAGAATACTAGGAAAAGTAAGACACTAACCCGAACCTCGAACGCCCTCCCAAAAGAATGTCTGGACAAAATACGCTTCCCAAATACGCAGCGATTTTTGTAAAAGCCCAATACGACTGTAACGTTTGTTGGATAGGATGGACCTTCATAGGATAAGGATAAGGGTGAGTCATTAATACCCAACTCAAAGGCATTAATGACTCACCCTTATCCTTATCCTATGAAGGTCCATCCTATCCAACAAACGCTCCCTCCCCGCTTGTAAAGGCTGTCTACTGAGGGGTCTACTGAATCTCGGCACCATTTCAACCCCTTCAATCATTCGGTTCAAAGCAGTCGTCGTTTCCCGAATCGCTTAAATGAGCGGTCGGTCATTTGCCATCGCATTTCCGTCATGCAAGCCCCGCGTTCGCTTTGTTCATTAACTGAACGTCACGACCAGATGGCCGCGTCGGCAGTGATTTCAAGGGCAGCACGACTCGATTAGTGTGGAGAAACATCTTTAAAGTGGCTTTTTCGAGCCCTCGAAGTGACAAAGAGATCACTTCTGAGCTCCTTAAATGGTCGAAGACTGCACAAGAAAAGAAGCAGGACTGCCGGAGAGGAATTATGAAACCATCTTCAAAATCCGTTACTGTTTAAAAGAAAAGAAACCTTTCAATTGGAATCCTACACTCCGAAATGGGTGGATTGAGACGGTGCTCATGGTCAGAAAGCTCCTCGGGTTTCTTTCTCCCTAGACCAATCTTGTTAGTGAAAACCCAGCAGTGAGGCTGCATGCAAATGCAGCGACAGATGGACAATGCAAGCGATGATGGGATTGAAATTGATGGATATAGGCAGATAATCTGACCACTGTAAAACTGCTCGAATATGCAGGTAATATGTTGCTCCATTCGGTGTCGCTTAAAGGCGAATTGAGAAGTAAGAATTGACCAATTAACAAAACTGAATTAAGAAGTAACGGAAAAGTGGCGTAGAACCCGAGAATTGAACCCTTTTGACCAGCTGATTTCCGTGCTGAAGCGATTCTTACTGTCATAAGTGCGAGCGCTCTGGTCTGCGTCTCCGCTAAAGCCGCGGAACTCCGCGGTTAGAGCCAAACGGCGAGGACTAGCATTTGTGGGTGGGCAGCGGCGCGAGCGGCGCCGGCAGGCCCTGTCCTTATCGTGTAATGCTCTTTCAAAGGCAGTAGGATATGGTTAATTCAACAGAATTCAACAAAATGTGAGCAGAAGCTTCCGAACTGGGGTCGGGCGAGTGGAATCGCCGAGTTCTTGGTTTTGTCGATCACGTACTGGTTCAACCTCCTGCCAGAACCATTCCACTCTTTCCCCAATCCTTATGGGAAGTTCATCAACCATTCAAGTGACGCTGATTCAGACGAATACGATTTTAGCGCAGAAAGGAAATAAAAGAAAATGTCTCGAATTTGGATTACAAACAAAATTATACCTTGATAAAGTCTCGTATGTATTTGTATGCTTGTATGCAAGGGTATAACCGAGAGTCAAACGCCAACCTCTCGATTTCCTTCTGCTGTTGCTGATTTGTGATCGCAGGCCAGATATCGCATGATAATCTTACTAGTCTCTGTTTTTCCAGCTCCGGATTCTCCTGAAAAAAATCACAACCCTAAGCAACTTTGTCTGATTCCTGCCCTATCTGACTTGAGATTGACGAGGGATGGTGTACTTGGACCCTTCACCGCT